CAAATGTGTTAAATGTATTTTACATTTATAGACACTGGAAGGAGATTTTGAGTCATATAAAGAATTGGTATGTTACTGTGAAGTTAACTGAGTTACAAACATTTTAAATACAAAAGAATCAGCAAATATGTAACTCATCGGCAAAGAGGAATCCAGACTCAATAGTCAAAGATAGTCTAAAATAGTTTAAAATAGACTAACATAGTTTAAATAGTCTACATAGTTTCAATAGTCTAATAGTTCAAAATTTATGGCCTTTCATTCTATCTCCACATAAAAGAAGTATCCAGGGACCCTGTCATATATACAGTGATCTCATTAGGCTCATGTGCTTGAGGGATGATTTCCCACTTTCCATTCAAAGTTTGAAAAATGGTTAGGTTTAAAAAATATATCATGTATTGAGAATTAGGCTTGGGGTGGATTAATGATTGCACATTGAGTCCCCTGTACAGAATTTTATTGTTGTTAACTGTTAACAACCATTTGATCAATAAATATGAGAGATGCCCTCTCAAAAAAAATATATCATGTATTATTAGGTGGTAGAATCTGGGGATGGTAGAATAATGGCTCCCCAAAGATGCCCATGTCTTGATCTGTGGGCTTGGGAATATATTACCATAACATGGCAAAGGGGACTTGGCAGATGTTAAATTAATGATCTTGAGTGGGGGAGGTTATCCCAGATTATCTGGGTCTTTGTAAGTGAAAGAGAGAGTCAGGAGGGCCAGAGAAGGAGACGTGACAAGAGAAGCAGGACTCAGAAGTGCTGGGCTGTGGGCTTTGAAGATGAAAGCTGTAGCCGGGAGTCAGGGAATACAGGCTGCCTCCGGAAACTGGGAAAGGCAAGAAAACGGATTCTCCCCTCTACCTCCAGAAGGAACCCAGTTCTGCTGATATGACAGAGCTCAGAGAGGCCCGTGTCCGACTTCTGACCTCGGGAACTGTAAGAGGATAAATCTGTGCTGTTTTGAGCCACTTGGTTTGTGGTAACTTGTTACAGCAGCGACAGAAAACGAAAACGGATGCTGTAGGATTTCGTGTCATCAAAAGCCTGACTAAAGAAAATCATGATCTCTAACAGCGACTTCTGCAATGCATTCTTAAATCTGTTCTCTTGTTTCCATTCACAGTGCTACCACCATGTTTCCAGGCTTAATAAAAACAATAGCATTTATGGAGGCATTACATAATGTCCCTTCTCCAAGCACTGTTCTACACCTTTATATTACATTAACTCATGTAGTTTTCTCAAAACCCCGATGTGGTAGGTATTTTTATTATTATCTCCATACTACAGAGATGGAGACCAAGGTAGAAAGAGATTAAGTAACTCACTAAAGTTGCATCATCAGTAAAACACAGGGTTTGAACACAGCTGTTTGGCTCAAAAGCTGTAGTTGCCTTTCTGGAAATAACTTCATGGCCTTCAAATTGCATGGCTTTCACTGAAGGTGTCCCCTCACTGATTCACTGTTTACATTGACTCTTTTTAACTATTGTAGTAGACGGAATTTTGGCTTCTGGGATCTCCACCCTCTGGTGTCATGTCCATGAATATGCTATGTTTCTTGGCAGAAGGGACTCTGCTGATGTCAGTAAGGTGATGTCTCAGTGATCTTAAAATAGGTGGATTATTCCAGATTAATGTGGGTGGACCCAAATCACTTGAGCCCTTAAAAGAAGAGCTTTGTGTCATGTGTATTTTACCACAATATGATAAAATAAAGAAAAAAGAGCATTCCTCTGGCAGAGGCTGAAGTGAAATCAGATCAATGTGGCAGAAGTCAGGGACACTCAAAGCAGGATAAAGATTTGATATGCTATTTGCTGGTTTGCAGAGAAGGGACTTCAGTTGTACAGCTACAAGGAACTGAATTCTGCCATCCACCTGAATGAATTTGGAAGCAGAAATCTTCCCCAGAGCCTGCACACAAGAGCCCAGGCCAGCTAATGTCTTTATTTCAGCCTTGGGAGGTCATGAGCACAGCACTCTGACCAATGGAAATGTCAGCCTTTCTAACCTCTTGTCTGATTGCTCTCCCAGAAGACTCTGAACTGAGCTGGCTGCTGAAGTCACCACTCTAATGTTGGGTCTATTTCTTCTTTCTCTCTCCCTCTCCCTCGCTTGTGACTTTCCTCTTTCCTGCCTGTGACCCATCCATTCCTTCCATCCAGCCATCCACCCACCTACCAAACATAAATAGTTGCTGGGCACTAAGTTAGGCATGGGGGGTACAAAGCCGAATTACTGAGAGACTAATAAACAGTGGGAAAATGCTAAGAGAAATCTCTCCCAATTTGCTTCCACAGAAATGATATTTCTGAGATAAAACATTTTAAATGGAGAGACCTTTTTTCTCCTCTGTCCTTCCTTTCTTAAACTACGGGTTTGGAATTTTTCTTCCTATAAACCCCCTTTCTTTATTTTTCTTTGCTCAGCTAGCTATCTTTATGCTTCTTCTTATTCACCTTGTATTGTATTTATCTGTCTAGTGTCCCACTAGACTATAATGAGTGTAGGAACTGTTTTACAAATCTTTGAATCCCCTTCTTTTAGCTTCAGCCATTGTATACAGCAGATCTTCATTTTTTTGTTACTTGAATTGATCACTCAGGAAAAGCTCCTTTACAGTAAATCCTACTATAAGCTCTAGTTTTAATAGACTCTTCAAGTTCTAACAAATGTCTACCTATTTCAGGTAACATGTACCCACAATAATATTTTGTTAAAATTTTTCTAAGGTTCAACCCAAAAGGCTTTGCTAAGGAAGAAGACAAGTCATAAAATTTAAGTTTTTAAGGAAAAAGTTACCCACTTCTAAAGATACCATAAATTAAACTTATTAGCCACTAATAATCTCTTCTGAGGGGATGTGATAAAAGTGAAGGACTTTTCTCCCAAGCAGGGTGAACATGAACACCACCCTCCTCAATTTTTGATTGAAGTTCAGGAGTTCGCTGACCCCTCAAGCCCATTCCTGCACACTCGGAAAGCCCAGATCCCTGGGCACGGAACTCTGAATTACGCAGGAGGCCTGCCATTCTGCATCTGAGTTCTCCTCAAACCACACCCTGCCCTTTACCCCACCAAAGGGTCTCCCCGAGGTGGGATTGCTTCAGAAGTTGGTTGAGCTGTCCGTCTGTCCTGTCTGGGCTGCCTCAGCCCTGTGAGTAACCTCCCGGCGGATAGTCCAGGCCTGGAAAGCCTCCGCCTCTGAGGGTCTGCATTAGTCCTGCCTTATTAAGCTTTTCTAGAAAAGCTTTTTCTGGAAAGCAAGCTATCCAACTGGGGCTGCCACCCGTGGCATTTTTCTGGCTTTCTGGGCTAAAGCAATCTCTTTCTTTCCAGGCCTCAAAGTGGCCAAAGAATGCTTGGTTTCAGAGAGCAATATGAGAAAATATGACTTTAGAAGTTTGGTAAGTAAATGAGGCCAGTCGCATGTTTTTGGTAATGTCAGTTCCCTGAAAACAGAAGACTGCTTTAAAGAGGGCATTCTGGTTATTACTCCATGCAACTACTTCCTGCTCTCTCAATAGGTAATTATATTTACAATTCAGAATGGTGTGCCTAAACCTCACACTGACACCCATGACTTGGTGTATGAAGTTTTGAGTGTGCCACGGGAAAGTGTGAGACTCACTCATCTCACTTCTACATCTCACAGGTTCAAGTAAACAGTGCCCTGATCACCCCCAGCGAATACTCCAAGGGCCGTTCTAGAAAGCGCTTGCCCTTTGGTCAAAAGCAAAAGGATGTGAGGCCGGCAGGAGTGCCTCAGGCCACATGCAGCCCCCTACCTGGTGGGGGCAGAGGAGCCTGTCTGATTGGTATGAGCTGTGTGACTGACTGGCTGTGACAGACAGTACTCTGCACTGCCAACTTCCGGCTCCATTGGCATCCAGATGCAGCTTCTTGAGGTGCCCAAACATTGTAATTTACAAATAAATGTGAGGAGGAGAAAAGTTTTGCAGCTATCTTTCACCAGTGATGAAGAGAGTCACAGATGAGGGCTACTGTCTGAGAGAGAGCTTCAGCCTAACACTCAAAAAGTGTGACTGGCAATAGTGTTCTAGGTACTAACTGGGCGGCTAATGGCGAGTCAGGTACAAAGTGCAGGAGCAGAGAAGGGCTCCTGGAGGGCGGAACGGAGGGGCAAGGGCAACAGTGGGCGAGACGGGCCCAGGACAGCGCCCCCCTGCGTCACGGGGGATGATAACTGCTGGGTGAGAATCTGGGCAAAACCCAGGCTAGGCCTTGTGTTTCTAGGCCTTGTGGTCGTACTGACTGAAAACCAGGTACTTTATAAAATTTATCCCTTGAAATAACTCCACAAATGATAATTGGAAGATGAGTGAAGCAGTTTAGTTAATGCCACACGGTGAGTGAGTGCAGGAGCAGATGCTGACCTGGAATGGCCTGGCTCTCCCTGTGCCCCCCTGAGCCATGTGGGCCTGTGGCCAGTCCTGCCACCTGTCTGCGCAGGGACACACAGCAGGAAGTAACCTTCTCATGGCAAAGCCCAGAGCAAGTCAATATATGAAAATAGACAAAAACAACTAGAACAATGTTGTCCAATAGAACTTTCTGCAGTGATGAGCATGTTTTATATTTGTGATGTCCAATATGATAAACACACACTGACTACTGAGCACTAGAAATCTGCTCTGAGGAACTGAATTTTAAATATTTATTAATGTAAATTTAAGTCATGCACGTGGCTAGTGGCTACTATATTGGACAGCACAGAACTAGACAATTTGACTTCAAAGGATCCCAGGGGCCATCTGTCCTCATTTCATCAAATACGGAAATTTCCTTTGCTCTATCCCTGATTATGTTCAACCAGCCTCTTGTTACACATTTTTAATAAGAAAAAGCTTTTCACCTTAACTTGGGATCCATGCCTTTGTTAGGAAAAATCTTCCTAATTTAACAGTTGAATCCTGCGGTGTGTGATCTGGGGATGCAGTTTGGTTTTGGGATAACAATCCCACTCATTTTCCCTGGGGTTATCTCCTGATTTGCTCTCTGCTCTTCTCATGCTGTGCACTTTTAGGTCTCTGAGGGCAGCCCCAGCTGCAGCTCAGTTCTCTGGTGCAATGTTGCACTGCCACCCACACGGGCCAGGTGACCCTGTCCTGCTGGCCTGCCGCTGAGCTGAGTGCACACTGCTGCGTGATGTGAGGATGCTGTCCCTCACCAACAGTGTTCTGCTTTCTTCCCAGATTTCTTCTCTAGCGCCTGGGCAGCCCCACTGCCTCAGGGGCCAGCAGCCTGGCTGTTATCTGATGCTTCCCACAGTCCTCTGGGGAACCTGTCCCTGCTCTTTCTCATTCTTGCTTCATTGCTTGTCCTGAGAAATGCTGCCTGGAGAGTTAAATTACTTGGGTTCGGCCAGGATGGATCACATCCTTCATCTTTAAGAAACGTGAGTATTTTAGAAAAAACCATTCCATATCATCTTGTCAACTAGAGAATAAATCCTGTCCTCTGTTTACAGATTCTCACCAGCTGGGGGCCAGCTTCCTCATCTGTTCTGTCTCTTTCCCCAAATCAGTCTTTCCTTTTCCTCCTTTTATCTAGTCACTTCTCCCAGAGTTCAGTTTGAGTCCAACGGGTGCCAAATAAATCTTGGTTGAATGAAAGACCTGTTGAGAATAGCAGTTCTATGTACCACTTAACAACATTTCTCATTATACACCTGTGAGCTAGATAATTCAAATGGACTACTATTTTGTCAAAATACAAAATGTATTTTGATAGTTGGGATGCATTGCTAGTTAAACCTAAGAAATACAATGCTACATTCTATTCACCCATTGATCTAATTAAATGAGATTAAATTGGCATGGTTTAATTTTAGGGAATTTTTTCATTTCTTAGTTACAAGTCCCTGTTAAGTGAGTAATTAACATTTCATTCTAATGCATGGAGAAATTTTATAAAATATTGAACCGAGAGAAAAGAGCCTGTGGAACATGTTAAGACTGTATCCATTACTTCAAATTAACTTCATCTGGGTTTAAACAAAAAAGGGAAAACATTAAATAAGGGCTTGCTAGAACACTGAATTACCTTTAGTGACATACATGTACATAAGAAAAATCCAAAATGAGCTGAGGAGTAGGATACTAAAGACTACACTGACTTCCAAGTTCATTGCTGAGTATGGTACCTTTTATCTTGATGGATTTCAAAAGTCTGACCATTCTGTATTGTTATCTATTATAAGAATTTAGTTTAAACTCTACTAACATACCCTCCCAGCCCTATTTATTGGATCTGTGCAGCCACCTCTAAGCTGACATATATCGGTGCTCTGCGTTGTATGGTATATGACTCACTTGATCCAATTATATCTTTGGGTAATTAATAAGCATCCTAAAGGTGGACCTTTAGGGAAACATATCTTTTCCTTCAGATCTAGAGTGGAATTTTAACAAATAGTAAAATTGGTGAACTTCTTCAATACTTCATTAACTGTCTGGGATACATGGAGCTCATGCACCAAGCAGAAATCTGGCCCGCAGTGTGCCTGAGAACCAACTACCTGGTCTCCCATAAGGATAAAATATAAAGTTACACTGACTTAGACAGGAACTGAGTTTGGAGATTCCTAGTTTGCTTCCTCATCTTTTCAGGAAATTACTTAGAGAAGCAGACATCCCCAAATTAACCCAAGCAAAGGATATTAAATGGGCTGATTGGGTTTATTTGGATAAAACCTTACAGTGTTATTACCTACAGTCAGGTTGGCAGTCCTAAGGGGTCAATACTATTATTTCTCATTGAAACAACCAACCAAATAAACAAAAGCAGCCTTGAGCAACGGTTCTGTCATAGGTTGAGATATAATTTTCTAGTCACATGAAATAGTATTGTTCTACTACAACTTAGTATTTTTTACATCTGACTTTGTAAATGAATCTCATATATTACTTGCTTTCTAACATGGCCACCTTCCAAACAAGACTTAGGTTTATACCTAACCATAAAGGTAGAATCTTTTTTTAACTATAATCATTTCTTGATTTGCTATTAGCAATAAATTCTCCTCAAGAAACAGTCCTTCAGGAAAAGATCAAAGAGAATATTTGCAAAGCAGAAGCAACATGATGTGGTGCTAAGTGAATGGGTTTTGGAGTCAGATCAGAGTTCAAATTTTTCTCTTGTTAGAAGAGTAATCTGAAGCAAATTATTACCCTCCTCCCCCACCCATTGAATATAAAATGAAGGTATGAAGCTCTAGTTAGCCTAGTAACTTTAAAAAATCAGGACAATATATGTCAGGCATAGGCCCACAGAAGCTTTCTCAAAAGTCCTTTTTCTCCCTTTTCTTCTCCTGCTTCTCCTTATTTGCTATCGGTCACAATCACAAGAAAGTTCCCCAGCTTGTGAGGGAGACAAGACTCACAGTGTGGTTCTAGGGAAAGAGTACGAGCCTGGGAATGAGGGGCCTGTGCATCCTGAAAAAAGCCAATTTCCTGTGCTGGGTCACAGCTGAAGAAGAAGGTAGGGAGGGGACATGAGGATGTGTCTGTCAAAACTGAGAACTGATCCTACAGGGTGAGTCACTCTGGAGCTCCTGGTGCCCCTGAAGGACAGGGCGCCGGGTGGGTCTGCAGCGCGGACAGCTGTTGCTGCTATGAATCTACAGAGCTTGGGTAGCTGCCTAACAGATCTTGGACTTTTATTGTAAGAGTTTTCTGATATATCTTATTTATCAAGAATGGGTTTCTTAGGAGTGGGTAGAGACTACTCTCCTCCCCCGACTGTTAAACTCTTCCTTCGATGGCTTAGATCTCCTTATTAGGGAAGGAATGGGAAACCATTTTCAAATTGTGCTCTGGGCCCCCAACTTGGATGCAGGGCAGTGGATGGGGGTATAGGAGTGGGTAGGGGATAGGTGGGGGAAGGGATCTGGATTTGAATCCTCCTTTTCTTACTTTAATATGAGTGGCATTGTTTTAAATTGTTTCATGTATACTGTGCTTTATATGAACAAGGAACCCCATGGTTGCAAAGTGTAAAAAGCGCTGGGATACCTGACCTTTGAAGTTCTTTCTGATGCCTGCTGATACTGAGTCTGCATGTTCACTTAGTGTGTACTTCTGAAGAAAGGCATCATGACATGCGTGCTCTAGGACCTTCAACAACAGACTAGACCACAACCAGATCAGCCCCAGTGCCTCGAGTGGGAAAGCAGGGGGTGGGGTGGGCAGCAGACTTTCCAGAGACTATAGAACACCAAGGTAAATGGATCCCTTGTGCTGGCGTGACTGAGGAGCACTGACATGGGGTAAGGGGAACCGCCTCCTGCCCCTGCTTCTGCACCATGCCCATCCCGAGGGGCCATGCGGATGCCAGTTAATCTCTGTAGGCCTCAGTTTCCTCATCTGTAAACCTGGTTTTGGGATAGCTTCCCTTTCCAAGCTATAATATAGCAACCTAAAAAGTAAGGGCAAGAAGAGATTAGAGGAGGAAAGGAGTAGGGGGACGTACTGCTAAGCCCTGTTCTCTTTTGCTCAATAGGGCGCAAGGGATGGGAAGGTAGGAGGGAGTATTTCGAACCTCTTATATCTGACTTCTAAGTTTTATTTCTGTAAGGTCAGTGAAGGATGATACTAATGGCTTGCCTAGCATGCATACAGTCTTTCTGGGTTTCTGGAATTCCACTCTGGAGACTGGGTGGTATTCAGGATGGGTAGGGCATAGGAGACAAAGAGATGGCAGGCCAGACAGTAAAAGCTCTCTGTAAGCAAGGACAGTTTGGAGAACAAACAAGGAAGTAGCCTCAATTTCCTATCATGGAATAAATACAGGAATTCATTGTTTGGATTTACCAAAGGAATCTAATACACAGGAATTGGCTTTGTTGATTTATTTTTTAAAAATTAAAAAAAAATCTTTTATACTTTGCTTGACCTGACTGTCATAAACCAGCATTAGGATAACATATTCTGTTTTTAAAAAAAAGCAGTGTAATAGTCAAAATATATATTTTTAAAGAAGTAGGAAATCTCGTGTGAGACATTTTTGATTGACTGTTGAGTTCATGAGATCATCTGGCATGAAATAAATGTTTCTTTTTCTGGGCAGTGATGGCATATGTCAAATATGGCAAGGCAACCTACACAACAATTTCCAGCCTATGGAGCTGATTTTTCATAAGCCTCGCCACACACCCATCACAGAGAGCTCTTGTTTCTGGAGGATTTGTTTCACCTCCTTTGTGAAAGCCTTAGAGAGAAGGCAGCAAGCAGGAAAATCAGCTATTTATAGGCGTTTTTGACTAAAAGTGTCTGCTCAGCGTGCCATGGAATACTTCCAAGAGGTGGGAGAACAGGAAACCATCTAAAATCAACTAGAAGGCTAGAGAAGTGTGATGAGGGAACAGTGTTACATGGGTATCATTTTCAGAAAGCTCAGGTCTCATTTGCAAACAAATGACAGCTAATTTCACTGACACTCCTGAGTTACTGAGGAACCAGCTCAACTATCAGTTAATGAGAGAAGAAGAAAAAAAAAGACATGAATTCTCCAAGGATGACAAGTGGTTGGGATCCTTTAAGGTACTTTAAAGGAGCATCTCTCTCTTTATCTATTTACTGCTGGAGGGACCACCAGTCAGGCTGCTGTCTGTAACCCAGCTTGGGCTAGCAGGCGGCCTATGATGTAGCCAACTTCAGAAAATGAAGATCAGTCAGGGACTTTGGGCATGAGCAAAGAGGAGTGATAAGGGCCTGTGGTCATCTGTTCACCACGGTGGCTCCCACCTCTCAAAGCTGCCCTGGTGGAAACACTCCTTGGGGAACCTGGATAAGCCAGTAAAGGAGAGCGTAGGGTCTGTAGTCGAAAGCCCCATGGCTGTGGCCGTTAATTAAACTTGTCCTGTTGGCAGCAGGGTCTTGACAGATTTAAGGTACGAAAACAAAAGCAGGTTTTGTGTGGACAAACTAAAGCTTGAGAAGGCCAGAAGGACTGTGTTCCATCAGCAAATACCACGCCATGGGAAAACCTGACCCACTGAGACTGAGCTACTAAGAGATCGCAGGCTTTGGGACTTTCTCATCTGCAGATAAAAGCTTTATGTGTTTACTTGGCACAGGGAGGGCTTTCCTTTACTAGGGAATCAGGTATGTTCATCCTAACCCTGGTTTATGACAGTCAGGTCAAGCAAAGCATAAAAGTAAAAGCGGTGTGGTCCATGAAACACATGAAGAAGCAGTGAAGCATGTTTGCCTCTGAGCATTTTAATACTCAAAACATTTCATACTATATTTTTCATTTATTCCCAAAATTTTAAATTATTTTTTTTCTAAGACCTGAACAGACACAAGTCATATATCACTATGCCCACTTTACAGATCTAGAAACTAAGGGGCTGAAGAGCGGGAGCCCAAAGCCACGTCGGACGTCAGCAGCAGCACCAAAGCTAATGGAACGCTTGTCGCTCTGTTTTCATCTGTGAGACTCTACTGCCCTCTTCAGTGAGTAAAATGATAAATTTGGACTGATAGTTCCCTAGAATTGGGTTAAAGTATGGTTCTTAGATTGATCTGATACCACAATCATCCCAGATGTACAGAGTTAGAATCTGTTGTGCTGATGCCAGAAATCCTCCTTTTACAGACACTCTCAAGGTGAGTCTTTCACAGAATTAAGGAACCATTAAGTATTCAGTGATAGTACAAGTGGCCACATACACATTTGATTCTACACATGCAGATGAATGTGGTATGAATATGCTAATTTTCACTCAAATGGATGGCACTATATGTTTCATATTGAATTTTCAACTTTAGACCTAGATCTTCTTTCCTCTTACTTGCTTTTTAATTTCAAAAACAATGACCAAGGACTCAGCCTCTCTCCCTGATGTCTCCCATGTACTATCCTTTTCCATTGTCTAGAGTTGCCCTGACTTAATATATTTGGTTGCATTTGTCCCAATATATTCTCTCGTGTATTATCTTGGAAAATATGTTTACAGCTACATTAACAGTTTTTATCCTAGGAAAGTGAGTGGAGAGGTGAGGGAAGCTGGCTGCCAACACAGTGAAGGTGCCAGAGAGATGCGGTCCAGCCCCAGAGCTGAGTGTCGTGTCTAAAGGTTACCTGTCCAAACTCAGAGCACTTCTGCTCCTTCTATCTTCCTTTGGGACATGGTTTATTTATAATGCTTATAAGGAAAACATTGGGATGCAGAGGGGACTGACAGAAATGACAGGACAAACATAGTCCCCCACCCCTTTTTTTAGAGGTTAAAAATACTACCCTGCCATTTGTAGCCACTGAATTACAAATTGCAGGAAATTATTTAGATAACAAATGTCTTCATCTCTTGTGAACCTTTTAGGCCACAAACATGCTTCAAATCTAACCTTCAGATCAGTTTTTTTCTCCCTTTGCCTCCTTGTGCCTTGACCCCACAGCCTTAAAAGGATGTACTAAGGATAGATAAGCCAGGCTTTGAAAAGAACCCTAAAGGTTTTCGCCACGTGCAAGGGACAGAGGGAAGAACAGGGCAGCGAACATGTTAGTCTCAGCCTGCTGCTGCTGAGATGACTCACCTTGTACCAGTCAAGGCATCTCCTTAGAGCTTATTTTTCTCGTTGTTAGAAAGAGTGGGTTGGACTGAGGGATCTCAATGAATTCTCCCATAAAGTGATTTTCAGATGAGAAATAGATAAGAAGATGCTATGTCCACCTTGCAGGGAGAAGTCTCTGAATGAGAAGGCATACAACATGGCCCTCCACTGAGGTTCTAGAATGCTGAAACTGTCATTTTTCTTAAACAAAACAAAACAACAAACAAACCACACCAAACAAAACCTAGTTTTTTAGTTATATGCCTTAAGGTTTTAGGGACCTGGGCAGTTAGACAATCCTGTATGTATATATGTAAATAGTGGCTTAAAAAATAAGGGGAGCAGAAATCATTTCCTTTCATTGGTGTTGGGTATCTCTCTGAACAAAGGGGTTTATCCTCACACCAGGGAAGCAGGGCACCACTAACTTATTTATACCAATGATCTGAGATAAACGAAGTTTAATATAATCACTGCAAAAGCAAGGTAATAACTTTTCTGGTGGAATCTATGAAAAATCTGTCTCCCTATTTTATAGTCATTCTTCTTATATGGGCTTAGTGAAATGGTATATTTAAAATAGATCTTTTGTCATGAATCACAGAATGAAGAAAGTATATGTGTAAATGTATATCTTAGCAGTATGGGTGCAGGAATGCCTGTACAGGTGTAACGTGTATATATAGACCCACACACATGAATCCAACATACATCACCCTAGACTCCACATGATTCTGCTCCATAGATTTGTGATATCACAAGTCTGGATATTGTAGGAAGTTTCCAAATTCTGTGAGAACAGTGAGTATAAACTCCAGTTGATAGAGAATAGTGACTTATTGTATATGAAAATAAAGATCCACCTATCTAGAAAACTCCATTTGCAATTATAATTAGAAGTCTCTTTATCTTAGAAATGGAAGCAAGGTGGGGCATATGTTAAACTTCAGCAAATGGAAAGTCCAGTTTTTAAAGATAGTGCTATCTATTTGTAAAAGACCAGAGAATCAGAAGAGGTCTTTCCTTGGTCATGCGAGTGTTTTCTAAGAAATGAAAGAGTTAAAAAAATAGTAGAAATAAGGAACAGTCAAAAGTAAAAGAAAGAGTGAGATAATAGGCCTCTCCTTAATCTACATTCCCTCTTCTATTAGTTGTATAACAGTAATTAGTTCACTCTTTATAACTTAACCTTTTAGCTACAAACAGAGGATTGGATTGAAGGAGAATCACCATTCACTGAAAAAAATTAAACGAGTATGGTTTCAGTCAAAGAATTAATAAAAAAAACTCTTAAATAGACATTTACAAAAATAAAGTAAAAAAAATGTCCTGTGCCATAATGTGTTCCAAACGGCATTTACTCAGGATGGAACCTGCTGGTAAGAGATGAGACAAGATGGTCTGGAGAAGCAGATAGACGAGCCCTGGATGAGAATTTACACACACATGCTATTTTTACCCAATGGGAGAAGTTATAGGTTCAAAATTTCAAGTAGATAATACAAATCATATTTAGGTCATATAATTCTTCATGAATCTCATTAAGAGTAATCTGGTTTCACCTAAAAAGGCCAATTTCTATATTTTCTCAACCAAGCTACCTTGACAAATGATGGGAAAAATCTGACTGTTAAGAGGTACTATAGTTTGAACTGTATGGTTTCTTACTTCAACTGTTTAAACCTATAAAGATGGAATTTCCCCATGATTCTTATCAATGAGCACAATAACCTACTAAGAGAGGTTGTTACCTTTGAACCTAAAATCAAAATGGTGAAAAAAAAAAACTAATCTAATCACCAAATCAGAGCCAACTTGGCAGTATTGCACATATATTTCGAATGGCCCCTATAAAACCTCAAACAAAAAAACCGAAGTTCTACCATTCACAAATCACTGTTTGTTTACAGTCATGTAAAGCCATAATCTCAAATGGACCAGAGATTATGGATGACTCTTTCTCTACAGAGTAGTAAATGATTATCTTGAGTTCCTGTCTTTTGTTTGCAACTAAGCAAAACCATCCTCTAAGGAGAGTGGAGAAAGAGACATAAAATCCACTGGCCACTAAGACGTCAAGGCTAGTTTTTCTCCTTTGTGCTGTGTGAATCAACACTATACCTTCTGACTGTAGATTGGATTCTGTGGGATGAGAAATCATGTGTTATGAAACCTTTAATTGATGGCACCTTTGGTGTTGCTGAAAATGTCTTTAAAATAATGAAATTGCAGACCAAGAATAATAAAGTTTCCTTAACAACTTTCAAGAAGGATTTTCTATTTTTTTTTCATCTTCCTTTTACTACAACTGACTCTGACTGGACCCCTGCTTTCTCACCGTGTTTTGCCAAGTGTCCCTCCCCACCCCCCTGCATTGTTTGGATAGGAGAAATAGTGAGAATTATGGAGAATCAGAAAAGGGATTTCCAGGATTCTGCTGCTCTTCACCAATTCTACATTCAAAGTTAGGACAAGGCAGGAGGTCATTTTTTTTTTTTATCAAAGGAGAGGGACCTTTCTGCTAAGGTCAGTGAACAAGAGGGAGAAGATTGTGTATGCCAAATAGGAAATACATTCAAGAATCTTGACCATTCTTGCTGAATTATTAAGGCAATTTAAATAAAAAATAAATTAATTAATCAATTAATGTAGTTGATGGAGGTTTTAGAAAAAAGCAGCAAGGAAATGTCGCAGGCACCAAAGTCCCTAGCAGACTTGCGTAGCACTGTCACACATTTCACACGAAGTAGTTTTAACTGATTTAATATAATTTAAGTTGTTCTAAAATAAGAGGAATGAAAAGCTCAGCCAGCAAAAGAAAATCTTCACTGGGCAAAGACTGAAATAAGCTTGCACAAAATTTTGAAAAATAGTTGTACCTGCTTTGAAAAAAACATCCTGGGTTCCTGCTTGCTATAAATGATTCTTCAGTGATTTTTATATTTAACCAACAGACAAAATAAACCTCAACCATTCAGAAACATTAATTTTGCAAAGGAACACTAAGTGTTTAGGATTCTTGTCATGGAAAACCTCTAATCACATTTCAATCACTAACCACATAATGTTCTCTAATAGTACCTAGCGCTTTTGATCATCTTTTAGTTAAAGATTTTATGAAGCCCCTGTGGAGACACAGATTTGTAGGTATCCGATGTCTCAGCCTGTTTTCTTAGCATCTGTACACACGTTAGTGTGTTAGCTCTTTCCATCTTACTACCATTATTTAGAGAAGAAATAAAATTATAAAAACTATCCTCCCCCAACTCCACCTCCCCAAAAAACCACCCAAAGCAGCGACATACTATCACCAAACACAAAGTAATAAAAGAGTTATACCCAAACCTGGTCAGTTCTTTCATTTCTTGAAACTTGCACGCAAACCGAAGAAACCCACTCAGCCTTAAAAAGGTCGATCATTTTGCTCTCCTAAAATTTCATCTCTGAGAGTGCTTTCTCAGTCCTGTCTTGTTCTCTCTCTCCCTCAGTGTGAGTGTGTGTGTGTGTGTGTGTGTGTGTGTCTACTTCTACCGGAGAGCGTTTTGTTTCCCTTTTCCCGTTTCTGTTGCTGGATGAATGCAGAATACATGATTCAAAGGGATTTTTTTTTAAGTGAACAGTTGGAAATCTAAAATCTTGCTCTTCTGAATGGCTTTATATGCCAGTCACTCAGCACATAACATTTACATAAAGAGGCATATATAGAAACAAGAATCCTGCTTGTTTAAAGTAAAAACAAACTAACAAAAACTCATTTTACTCCTTTGAACCCATTCCTATTTTATTTACTAATTATTAACACTTACCCTGAGATGTGCCATAAATGCTCTATTCCAAATGTATAAAAGCCAACCACATCTCAACTGAGCATTAGACAGTTTTAATGTCTTCAAATCCATGTCCCTGCTCTAAATCCTGATACAGACAGTCACTGGCAGCAGTACAATAGTTCTAAACAGCAGACATCTGATTCTTGACATTTAAAAATAACAATATTGGAAAAAAAAAGAGAGTCTTTTTTTAATTGACTACAAACAGCTTGTGAGGGAGCACATATCACCAATTGACTGTATTAACTGGAACTTGGAACAATTTCAAGCTACAGCATTTTATTTCCTAATCAATGTCAGGCAGAGACCAAATAGTTAGAGACCTGTCATCTTCTATCTTACTGCAGCAACAGCCTAAGTTGAATTAATTCTAGGTGATAATCCTACAAAGAGACAATCAGAACTTGGCTAGTATTTAGATTCCATTGTTGTGAATATTAATTTAACTTGTGTTCAGTCTTGAATCAAATTAGGGGCATATCAGTTATTCCATTGCTCATGTAATATGGGCATTTCAGGACATGCATTCTTGACTGAAAGCACATGTATGAGGTCAAATGAACACATAGATCTGCTACAGAATGAAACCAGTAATAAAATGAAAATGCATTTATTTCTACTTCTGATGCTCTTCCACTTATCTATGCATTCCTGGGCAAATGGTTTAATGTTTTCTACCTCAGTTTTGTGGTCTGTAAAACTGGAGTACATAGTAGTACTTACTTTACAAAGTTTTGGGTACTAAACAAGATACTGTATGGTTTCTGGCATGTGATATGTGTCTGATATATGCTGATGCTGACTTCTGTTTTGTAGTTATTTGGAAAGGGTAGGGGTTGGGCATGGTAGAAAATTCAGGCTTTGCAGACAGA